ATAAAACGTTGAACTCATATGTTCATATGAGCTAATGGGTTAATCTCATATTTTCTCATACATATAACAAGGAGTAACTTTCATTCAAAGCACATCTGTTGGTACTGTAGTAGCATGCCCGCGCAAGTCATGCACATCCCCGACAGGACGTTGGGAACCAATCCTCACACCCTTTTACCTCCAAATCGGTTGAGTACCATTTCTAAGGTCTATTTTTCTTAGTGGATTGATTTTAGAGGTTTTGTTTTTCATTAACTCTCTTAAAAAAAATATTTTTTTACTTTATATTCTTAATAGCTTTGATTTATACTTTAACTCTATTTCTATTAATAGCTTGGCTTTATTTTAGAGTTCTTTTTTCCATAACTCTCTTCAAAAATATATTTTCTAACTCTATATTTATTAATGGCTTAGATTTATTTTGGAGCTCTATTTTCCAAAAGTTTTTATATTTATTAATGGCTTAGATTTATTTTGGAGCTCTATTTTCCATAAGTCTCTTTAAAATAAACTTATGTCTGGTGAGTCTATAAGAGGTCTTGTGTACGATTGGGAGCAGATTTTATTTCAATATCTTAAAATAATAATAATAATCAAAATATTATTGTTGTTAAACTAGAAAAAAATATTAGATTTTACACAGCTCATCGATATTATCTGTGATGAAATATATGGGTTTTCAAGTTATTTCAATATATTAAAATAATAATAATAATCAGAACATTATTGTTGATAAATTAGAGAAAAATATTAGATTTTACAATTTTTTTATTGTTTGTCTATATTAGCTCTATGTTGCACGAAATCAATCAACATTGGAGTAAAAAACACCACGAATTTATATAGGGCTTTTAAAGATGATTTCAAAAGCTTCGAAATAAACTAAAAATCATAAAAAAAAATAATGGAGTATTTAGAGAAAAATAATAGAATTGGTGATTTTTTCACAAACTAACGACGTTACCTCTTTAATGTACGAAATCAATCAATAATGGCAAACGAAAACCATTGATTTGTATAAGGGCCTTGAAGCTGATTTCAAAAGCTTCAAAAGAGGGCTTTTGTAGATAACTTCAATCAATTTCGTGAATAAATAAGAGAGAAAGGAAGAGATTGGCAGATTTTTTTTTTGATAAGTGAAGAACCCTAAAAACCCGATAATTTTGTGATAAATTGTTGTTCGATTCGGGTTTTGATGAACCCAAATCTTATCACAAAGATATCTTCAAAATCGCTCCTAAATTCCATATTTTCAGTTTACAAAAGTTTCTTATCAAGGAAAAAAGAGTTTTATCCACCAATAGAGCAAAATTGGATGAGTTTTATGTTTTTGGGACCGAGTCTTCTGTTTTTTCAGCGATTCTTGTTCACCCAATGGACCAGCAGCAATTGTACCATGGACTCGGAGCCCCTCGGTCTCAAGTGGGGCGAGACCGAGTCGACTCGCCCGAGATAAAAACCTAGGGCTACATCCATCATCAACTTTTTGTGATTGGATACATTATGCGTAACATCTATTGTCCATTTTATGTGATTTTATACATGATATGTTTCTCAAGTACAGGATGCAGACTCAGAGAATGGACTTTAAGCTGAAGTGGTCAGGGAGGCGAGTGCCATGATCTGACCTATAGAGTTATATTTCCGCTAGCTTTCAAGTTGACGTTCTTTGTATAAAAATGAAAAAAGCAAAAAACAAAAAAAGAAAAAGAGATGAACATGGCACCCATTCAACATACTTACTGGTGCCCATCAAGACAATTGAGTCCATTCAAGACATCCCTTATTGCATAAACACCCCTTTAAAATTGTGGATCCTCAGGAGCTTTTTATTTGAAAATTGGCTTGTCCCTCCATTCCAATTCTTTCTTTGGGTACACTTGCTAAAGGATGAGAAGCCATGGAAATACAGCCCTTCGTGTTGGACGATTTGCTTAACTGCTCTTTCGCATGCTGAAGTGGAAGCAGAACATCTCTAAAATCGAAGCATTCGAGCTCGAGTATTGAGCCATGAGAGTAGTCCTCATTTGAAGAGTCCCTATTTTTGGAAGCAAATCAACTACATTAGAGTCCAGTAGAACGAGTCAGGTTTCAAATCTTTGGTTTTTCAGCTAAAATGGGGTCTCAGAGAAATTGAAGAGCAAAAAAAAACAATGCACAAATTCAGAAATAGTGGATGGATTTTGGCAGAATATGAACCCATAAATAAGGGAACGTACTGAAGTTAGTTCTCCTCAGTGAATTCTCAATAACATTTTTTACGGTTTCAAAAGGAATCACATATTTTCATCAATAACAGAGAAACTTGTGTTTTCAACTGTCTTTTTACATATTTCTGGCCATGAAAGTATTTGCTGCAAGGGCGTCATTGCAAACGCCTTGATTTCTGAAACTTGGTTTAGAATTAGATCTAGAGGAATACAAAAGGGGGAGTACATATTTTGAAAAGGAAATGTTCGTTTTTTCATCCTGGATGCATGGCCTAAAAAAATGCAGATTTGATGATTGAGAAGAATTAAAATGAACACTTATAAGGAAAAACGTTATATGATACTTTCAAATTTCAAAATCTAATTTTTATAAGATTCATGATTGTGGTGGTTGAGATCGTCACCCTGTTCAATTTTCGATCCAATATCAGTTTCTATTATGGAAATTGGAAGCGGAACCACATTTGAACAGGTGCATCAGCTGATGCATCCAAACCCTAGACCTTTTAAAATATAGGGAATTGACTTTCTTGAGTTATGTTATTTTAGAATGTTTTCTTTTTCCTTGGAAAGATTTCCTTCATTTTTAGGTTTACTCAGGACGTTCAAAAGTTTTCCCAATAGAGGCCAAAAATTTGAGAAAATCATCCCAATAATTCATGCTTCAAAAATGTTCCAAAGATTTGTGAGTGGCCCCAAATTAGAACACCAGTAGAGATGATTTTGAGAAAATCTTCTACATACCTTTATCCTCTTTCTGAAAGAGTCTTTCAGATTAAATTCAGAACTGTTTTCATTTCATTTTCAGCTTAGACGTACTAATGTGCGAGTGTTTTACAGGGCCATGTATTTAAATTCAAATCTTGCCAAAAAATGCAGTTTTGGTTTTTAAAAGCCTGCAAATCAATCATCTCTACATAAGAGATAATAGATCTGAAAAGGCGATGTAGGTTTTAAATCCTAAATGTGGACGGCCTTATAACACATTTTTCTAGATTATCAATTTACATTCTTCATAGATATGCCACGCACCTAGACCTAGAACTGCATTTTCATGTGGGGTTTGGAAGCATCGCTTCATCACAAAGCTGCAGCCATACCCTAGTAGTATGTCCTGCAGTCATTCTAGCCCTTCCAATGCATGAATTTCAGACACAATTGACACAGATTTCAAACCATAACAGTACCATAATCTATCAAAAACTTAAAGATAACCGTTGCTTTTATTTGTAGTCTGATTAATTTGGTTTGCTTTTGTTCACAGGAAAGGTAAGGATTCAATCAATTGTTTCAGGAGATTCAAGCTGATTATATGCACATATTTTTTCAGTCATACCTCTCTCTGGTTTGAGAAACCACCATCTCTTCTTCTTGAGAACGAATTTGATGGCCATAAGAATTATCAGTACTACTGTTGCCCACTGAGCTGGAACAATCTCCATGAGAAGAGGCTTCCTCTGATACTGAATTAGGGGTCACTATTGAAGTTTCCGAGTATCTGAGATGATCAGAAATTGAATTGGGTTTATTTTCCTTCCCTTCACATAAGTGTGCAGAAGGGCTTTTGGGGTCTATCTGAGGATGTGAGTCTCTTGATGGGATAGCCTGTCCAGTGATCACTGAAAGTTTTACAGAGATGAGTTTCCTGTTCATCAGCTTCAGCTTTGATTGGGCTTTGTTTCTGAGTTCGGTCTCAATCTTTAGCTGCTTTTCGAGTTCGATCAACTGTAAGGCATTTACAAATCAAAGAAATGGAGTACCAGAGAGAAAGAGAGAGAGATTCAAGGACATGAGGATCACTGCAAATTATCAGAAATTGAAAATTTGAAATAAAAACAAAGAATGAGATGAGCAGAGAGAGCCAAAGTGAAGAGTGAAAGGAACTGACCCTCTTTTCTATGAGTTTCAGATCATCTTTAGCAGCTTTAGAAGCTGCCCTTTCTGCAAGAAGCCTTTTCCTCAAACAGACAATGGTGATTGAAGAATTCTCTCCTCCCATCCCTTTCTGTCTGCCAAACAACAGAGAAGTGAGTGTGCACTGCACTCTTAAAAAAGACACCCAACAAAAGTGTGAGAAAAGAAGGAGAAACCTTGTACTCAGATCTATACAATGGCTGCCATTATGTGAACTGCATCTCCGAGAAACTTCCTCCTTTTCTACTAACCCCATAGTTTCGTTTCTCTTATTCTGAAAAGTGATCAAAGCTCATCATTTAGAGAGAGTTTGAAAATTTAAAAGAGTAAGGAATTAACCTCACCACACGAACAAAAGAAAACCCATCTTTTCCAATACTCATTTTCCTGTCAGATCCTTCAAGAATTATGCATCGAATTGAGAGAAAAATCACTCTCTCAAGCACAAAATAACACACATCCTTTGCTATCCACATTTCTCAGTTTCATACCTTGAACACTGAACCATAGAGAGAGAGCATAACATCCTTTGCCACTCACATTTCTTAGTTTCTTACCTTGAATGTTGAACCAGAGAGAGAGATGGAGCACATCCTTTGCCACCCACATTCTTAGTTTTTTACCTTGAATTGTGAATCATAGAGAGAGAGAGATCTACATTCTAGAGATGGGGTTTGAAAATTGAAAGTAAAAGTAAGAGATTTTGGAACTAACCGGACAGAATGGTATGCAAAGTCCAATCTCTTTCTCTCTTCCCAATAAAATCAAGATGCTTCTTTCCTCAAAACTTCTTTCAATTTTTTTCTGTTTTTGGGGAGAAATGAAACTTCTTTGAATTATGGCTGTTTGGGTTTCCATTATTATATACCAATTATGTCTGTGTTTTTTTAAATGGGCGTAACGCCCTTTTTTTTTTTTGCTTTTTTAGTGGTGATTCATTAATTTTAGAGAAAATTACGAAAAAAAAAAAAACCTAAGACTATATTTTCTATTCAACTTACTCACCTTAATTTTTTCTCTCACTTTTTTCTTCAAAATATACTTATATGCAAATACTCCTCAACCAAATAAAAAATAAATAAATGTCTAAACTACTCTCTCTTACTTTTACTTTTTACTTTACCCACATTTTAATTTTACCTTACCCACATCTCTCCTCTATCGCCATCAAACTAGGTACTCCAGCACTGTGTAAATGCAATTTGACAGTAGGGATTTCTCCTCTATCACTATCAAATTAGGTGCTCCAGTACGGTGTAAGTGCAATTCGACAATAGGGCTCCAGCATTATGTAAAAGTGTCGTCAATTACAAAGAGCGGTCCGATAGTAGATATGTCACTGGATTCTAGGGTTCCGGCACTATATAAAGCGCAGTTTGACAGTAGATATTATTGGATTCTACGGCATCGGCACTTTGTAAAGCGCAGTCTGACAATACTCAATTTCAGTCTAGTAGTTGTCGGTCTAGCACTTATGCGTTTCGGCAATGTGATGGTATGCAACAATGTGTTATGGGGTCTAAATAAACCTCAAATGGCCAAAATGATTTTTGTATATTGAAAGGGTATTTTTATTCAAAAAAATAAAATTTTTTTTGGTATTTGCATAAAAAAAATTTAAAAAAAAAATGAGAAAAAAAATTAAATTGGGGGTTCGTTAAATAGAAAATGTGGTCTTGGAGATTTTTGTAATTTTCCCGTTAAATGACTGTGAAATGGCGGAATGCATTCGACTTGGAGGACGTCCGCCTTCTTGATGTGAATAATTTAAAGTAAAAAATTGAAAACAAATGAATGGGTGGCGGTTTTTCACGTGATCCCTGCACTCTTTTGTCCTATCTCCAATTCAAGCTTATTCAATTCATTAATGTTGCTTTTTGGAGCACTGCATTTGGTAAATGACAAAATGGTACCATTGAGCACTTTTCTTTTAATTTTTTTTTTTTTCTTTTCTTTTTAGGTTCTATAGTCTTGTACCCACTACTCTCTTTTTTTTATTTTTTATTTCTTTGTTATGCTTTCATCAAATTGATTTACACAATCTTCTTCTTACCTATATTCATTTTGAATGAAGTTTTTATAAGGCCTAGGCTTTATGAAAGCCAAATAAAGCCTCACCTCAATCCTTGTCCAGAAAGCAGTTTCGAAATCGAAAATCTCTATGATGGTTCTAAAATCAATTTTCAACACCGACAATGAAATTTGACTAAAAAATGATATAGATCTCTTGGATATATATTAATACTTATTTTTAGAGCGAAATGGATGATCTAGATAATTTGGTATAATAAATGCTATTTTTAGAGCTTAAAATTTTTTATTTTTTATTTTACAAACATAATGTTCAAGACGAGATGATTGATTTAAAGGTTTTTCATCACTTTTGTTACAATAAATGCTATTTTTAGAGCTTGAAATCTTTTGTTTTTTTTTTACAAACATAATGTTCAAGACAAGATAATTGACTTAAAAGTTTTCCATCACTTGAATTACAATGATCAATTAGTTACGATACGAGGCTTTACTTATTTTGATAAGATTGTTGTGATATCAAACCATTTTCATGGAAAAGTAACTCGTCCACATCGTGTGGGGGTAGAAGAGGGCACGAGCACACTTCCAATGGTTGAGTTTGAGATGGTTATCCAAATGCCGAAGGTCAATCTCATATTTTATTTTTATTTAAATAAGATACTTATCTGAATTTTGGAGTATATGTGGATATTTAGAAATATAACCAAATATATATATTTAAAAAAATAAATAAAAATAACCAAAATACACCTAAATTTATTTTGGTTAATATTTTTTGCAAAATATATTTTATTATTTTTATTCAATCTTACTTATAAAAAATGAACCTAAAACTATAATTTTAAATATAAAATAAAAATAAAAATTGAGATTCATTATTGACCCTTAGATGAGCATGGTTCAATCTAAGCCACCAAAAGGTGCTTGTGCACCTTTTAAGGAACCACATGTTCCGAACGCAATACCAACCCTATTCATAAATACTTGTGTTCCCATTTGCCAAAAGATATTCTTCTGTCCATTTACTCTATCAGCTAAAATCCCACCTAGAATTCTTTTTAAGAACACAAATTTTGGGATGTAATCACCTTAACTCATAGATTAACCTAAAAAAAGATATACTAATTTTACCCTCTATGCACTTGAAAATATTAGGATTTAAGAAACGGGCAAGTTTTCTATTCTTTCCCTACATGATAGAAGTTATATCCTCCCCCTTATCCAGCTGTCTATTCTGAATGGAGGATTAAGATTGCCCCTGCCATGTCTTTACACTATTTTATTTTTAATTTTTTTCTATAAACTATTTTGACACCAAATTTTGTACGTCCATTCCTCTATTAAACTCGTACTAGTGAAAAATATAAAAAAAATATTTTCAATGAAAAAATAACCAAAATACCCTTGGAAATTTCAAGGGTTATTTTGGTCATTATATTTTATTGAAAAATTAATTTTAATATTTTTTATAGGTGCGCCCCAATGAGAAGATGGCACGTATCAAATTTTATATTCATATAATTTATATATAAAAAACTAAAAATAAAATAATTTGAGACATCAGATCTAAGATCAAACGGTGAGTGGGTCTCTTGATCAAAATTGAACGGCTGGATGGTAGGAAAAGGATAAAACTTCTACGCTGTAGGGGAAGTATAGAAACCTTTCCCTTAAGAAACCCCTTAGATGCGGAAACAAGAATCCTAAAAATTGGATCCTACCAAGATCGTGTACTTATCCAGCTATAAAAAAAATAAGAGAGAGCATGAGTCATAATACAAGAAATAAAGCATGAAACACACATGCCACAAGAACACAGATTTATGTGGTTTACCCCAAAAGTGCTCTCGAGCCATAATATGATAAATAAAGTATGATACACACATGCCACAAGAACATAAAGATTTATGTGGTTGACCCCAAGAGGGCTACATTCATGGGTACGACAAACTGAAATCCACTATACTAATGAAAGTTACATCATAAATTTTGGGACATAAAGTCACTTCTCTAACCCTCGACAAAGTCCAGTCAAGCAAGCATTTTTAGACCCGTTCTCCCAATCGGCATGACTCACCGATCTCTCATCTCTATTCCACAACTAAACCACTGTTCAAGAAGAGAGCATCTCCATTCCACAACTAAACTGCTGTCCAAGAATATGCCCTTGAAAGCAACCAATACTTTCTCTTACTTAAAGAAAAAACCACCCAAAATCTTCATGGGAACCTCTTCTCTACCAGAAACCAGCCTCTCAATCTACATGAGACGCAACGGGGAGTTTCTCTCCATAGAAAGCTACCAGAAACCAGCCTCTCAATCTACATGAAACGCAACGGGGAGTTTCTCTCCATATGAAGCTCTTTTTTCTCTAAAGATGATGCCTTGCCTCTCAAAGGCACAACGTGGGGTTTTTCTACATAGGAAGTTCTCTTCTCTCTGAAGGGGAGGACTTGACCTTGCCTCTCAAACACAGGAGGCCCCTGCTTCTATATGGTGACCCAAATATTCTTTTATCTTTCATCTCATACTCTCTCCCATATGGTGACCCAAATATTCTTTCATCTTTCATCCTATATATATAAGATTAGGAGTTCACACACTAAATAGGAAACTTCATATAGGTGATACATATATCTCAAGAACCTAGAGATATATTCCAGAGTCCTAATCTTTTTGGATTTTTATTTCATTTAGAAAACTTATCAATATCAATCTCAATCCCACATAATATGAGATTTTTTTTATGTGGGTGATTTTAGATATCACCACATCCAACAGGAAAAAAATAATGTATTGAGATTGAATAGATCCAAGTGTTATGACACTCAAATTTCATTTGTTTTTTTACGAATAATCATCTAATAATTCTCGAGTAGTTCCCAAAATTTCATTTTTTTTTTTTTTACGAATAATCATCTAATAATTCTTGAATAGTTCCCAAAATTTCATATTGAAAAACATCCTCCTATCGAGGGCCCGACGATCAAGTGTTTCTAGAGACACTGCTCAAACTTTCTTTCCGTCTTTGCTAAAACTACTCAATTTCGATTTTGGCTTCTCGGCTTATGGCGGAAAAGCTTAGCACTAAAGATTATGAAGTTTGATTCCAAAAAAAAACGATTGAGGTCTGGACCCCACCTTGCCATCCAAAGGGCAAAAAACCACAATAAGGGATTATAAATGTGATATACATTTCCAAGTTTTACCCACCACAGGTCTCTCATTTTTCTCACAAAATTAGAATGGTTGCACTAAGAAAAGTTAAGGGCATCTTGGCCATTTCCTTATAATGTATGGCTGCATGGTAAATATTGTGAGATCGGGGTTTTAGCTTTTTGTGGTGCTGAAATCATGGCCATGGCCATGGCCATTGAAAAGGAAATGTGGTGTCTTAAAAGGTAAGATTGTTGTTATTAGAAGTCGACAAATGCAAGGGAGCCGCAATATCTATTTTAAATCCTCTTTTCGATACCAGTATAAAGGTTCATGTTTATGGATCTAAGAGGGTTATCCCTTCCCTTTAACAGAGTAGAGCCTCTGTTGAGTTTCATCCTACCGATTAATTTAAGCACTCTATCGATTTGGTACACGTGGGTGATTTTTCAAAAACTGAAAATCTGTCTCTTTCTAATAAATTTTTCAATAAGTTATTGAAAACTGAAAGTTTTCAGTCTTTGAAAAACCGAAAATATTTAATTTCAGTTTTTGAACATGACAATTTCAATTTTTCAAAAGCCTGTCTCTTTCCAATAAATTTTCTAGTAAGTTAATGAAAAATAAAAGATAGTTTTCAGTTTTTGAAAAACCAAAAATATCCACTTTTCAGTTTTTTAAAAACTGAAAAATCTTATTTTTTGGTTTTTCGAAAAACCAAAACATTTAAACATTTCGGTTTTTCAAAAAAAAAAGTTTCGTCTTTTTTAAGAAAATATTATGATGGTGAAAAAAAAGAGTATACATGTAAAAACATAAACTTTACGAAAATTCTATAATAACGCTGAATATAACGGTTATACATGTTATTTTCTCTATAATTTAAATATTTTTATGTCCTATAACAATATTTTAAAACAATGGACAAATGAGGGAGCAACATGCCTTTAAGACGAAGACTTCCACTTCACCAATTACTTTTTCCCTTGCTAGGCAAAGGATAGTATATTTTTGGGCAAATTTCAATTCCATCTCTTTGACCACTTTGTTAAGGAGTGTAATTTGAGTCATCATCTTTCAGGAGGGTGACTAGTAACCTTATTGTTTTGAAATCATGACTAGCCTATCGAACAGGTCACTAGCTGAACCAATCAAGATTGGAATAAATTAGTTCAATTGAGAAATTTATGTAGAAACAAAGAAGTATAAAATAGGGAAGTTTATATAAGGTTTCAACCTTCAATTGTAGAAGTTAGGCGCGCTTCAAAAATTCATTGAAAAAAGTTATTTTGATGGATATATAAATATGAAAACAAGAAAAGAAAAAAGATGTCAAGTCCTAAAATTATTGTATTTTTAAAAACATTATTTGGAACGTCCATTTTCAAGTATTTATAGATCCCCTCAATTTGAATTTTTTTAAAAAATTTATAATTAGAAACAAAAATAAATTTTTTAAGGCTTTTCTATAAATTTTTGAGACCAAAATTTTATCTTTCTCCCAAATTTGGATGTTGAGCCTTACTTTGATTCTTTAAGCCTTCCATCCACCGGTTCCAAAGGCTCACTAGTCGATGAATTTAAATAAAAAATTTTATTTATTTACATACACCCCCACCCAAAAAATTAGGGATTAAGAATAGAGATTGTATGCCATGAGACCATTTACTTTTGGTACAAAAAGATCACAATTACTTATAATCACATGAAGTGAAATAAGATAGCTTGGATGTGTCACAAAGTTTAAAAAAATTTCTTTTAAATTTTGAACTTGGTCAATGAAATAAATACAACCACATAATTTCATATTCAATGGTTAAGGTTAATTGTGGCATTCTTCTACCAAAGGTAAATGATCTCATTAAATACTCTATTGAGAATATCAAATATAGAAACATAAATTCAAATTTACAAATCTTTTGGAAAAGGGTTGGAGGCGTGGTGGTATCACCTCATGCCCTAGTCACCACGTTCTGGTTCAGATTCCCATAG